GAATGATAGATGCGTTTATAAAACTAAACTTCAAGTTCTCTCGCGATCAAACTACACAACAGGTATAACAGCAGCTAAGCAACTCATAACAAGCCCTGATGGAAGAGTTCTTTTCTTTCTTTTTTTAAAAAAATTACTTTAGGGGCTGGTGCTGTGGTGCAGTGGGTTAAAGCCCTGAGCTGAAGCACCGGCATCCCATATGGGCACCGGTTCTAGTCCCGGCTGCTCCACTTCCAATCCAGCTCTCTGCTATGGTCTGGGAAAGCAGTGGGAGATGGCCCAAGTCCTTGGGCCCCTGCACCCACGTGGGAGACCCGGAAGAAGCTCCTGGCTCCTGGCTTTGGATCAGCACAGCTCCGGCCGTTGCGGCCATCTGGGGAGTGAACCAGCAAATGGAAGACCTCTCTCTCTGTCTCTATTTCTCTCTGTAACTCATCTTTCAAATAAATAAAATAAATATTTAACAAAATTACTTTACTTTATTTGAAAGTCAGCATTATAGAAAGAAAGGGTGATCCAGAGAGACAGGGAGAGAGAAAGAGATCTTCCATCTGCTGGTTCACTCTCCAAACGGCTGCAACAGCCAGGGCTGGGCCAGGCTGAAGCCAGGAGTCTGGAATTTCATCTGGGTTTCCCACGTGGGTAGCAGGGGCCCAAGGCCCTGGGCCTCATCTGCTCCTTTCCCAGGTGCATTAGCAGGGAGTCAGATGAGAAGTTGAGCAGCCGGGACTGAAACCAGTGCTCCAGTATGGGATTCTGGCATTGTAGGTGGCAGCTTCACACCCTGCGACATAACACGAGCCCCTGTTGCTTTCATAATAGGAGAAAAATATTCCTCAGGAAGCACCAGTTATGCTAATTATGCTAACTTGATCTGCTTTCATTTCTTCGGCATTAAACCCAACAAGAACCATGTGGTATTATGGTATCGGCAGGAAAGACCAATACTCCGTACCTCCCCAGGCACGTTTCTCTTCCAATTTCAAGATGAGCATTGCTTCCGGCAGCTTTGAGAACACCAGACAAAACCAAATCAGGGGGCCTGCGATGTGGCCTAGTGGGGAGAGCTGCTGCCTGCAATGCCAGCACCCCATTTGGGGCCCAGTTCAAGTCCTGGCTGCTTCATTTCTGATCCAGCTTCTTGCTAATGAGTCTGGGAAAGCAGCAGCAGATGCCCCAAGTGCCTGGGCCTCTGCCACCCACGCGGGATGGAGCTCCTGGTTTCTGACTTTGGCCTAACCTGGGCCACTGCAGCCATCTGGGGAGTGAACAGGCAGATGGAAGACTTCTCTCTCTCTCTCTCTGCCACGGAGTGGGTGGGGCAGAAGCTTGCCCCCTACTGGCCAACCCGTGGCATGGGGCTGGGGGGTGCTGGATTTAGGACACGTTTCCCTGCTTTTCTTTCTCTGCCCTTCCTAGAAAGACACAGGAGCCACTGTTCAGCTGTGTTACTAACACAAGAAAAAGAACAAAACCAGCACTTGTTATTAAGTCCTTTATGTTTTAAAGCAATTGTATGAACTTGAGAAATACTGCTCATGAATAGGGAAGCAGAGTGTCAGGGGCTTAAAGAGTTCCAGAGGAAGTTAATTTTTCTTATAGAAATTTCAGAATAATGGCTAAAAAGCATAAATCGTTGAGCAAATCCACAATATCCAATTAAGATACAATTAAAAGTGAGGGTTTTTTTTTTAAAGTTTTTATGTATTTGTTTGAGAGGCATGGACAGAGAGGGGTCCCATTTGCCAGTTCACTCCCCTAAACACCTGAGACTAAGGAATCCAATCTAGGTTTCCCACATGAGGAGCACCCATCGCCTGCTGCCTCCCAGGGTGCACCCAGCAGGAAGCCTGAATCTGGTAGAGCCAGGACTGAAACCCAGCCCTCCAGTGGGAGATGTGGCTGTCCCAAGAGGTACCTGAACCGCTACGCCCCCAGTGGTTAAGCCATCACTGTAACACATGCATGAGAAAGCCCAGCATTGAAATGTAACGCCAAGGGAAGCAAAAAGCCAAAGTACGCTGCTGCAGCCAGTTCACTACCACCAAGTCAGACAGCAACAAGGCACTGCCTGTGTGCACAGCCTGGCACCTATGGACATCAGTGCTACAACCAGCGGCAATGGCTCAAAAGCCAAACACACTCCCCAGTCCCTCTGCCCAGCAGCTCAATATCACCTGGGGATGTGGAGGAAGCGCAGACTCACTGCCACCCTGCCCCTCCCCAGCCAAAAAAAGCCAGGCTGTTGATTCCATCAGAAACTATGGATTAAAGACAGTGAGCGTAATACAGGTAAAAACTGCGTAGCCCTAGAGGTGGGGCTGGAGGTCTGAGAGCAGGCAGGGGCGCTGCCCACTGCGTCCTCTCCAAGAGTGCTTCTGCCTGTGGCTCCTGAGAGGCCGTCTCTGAACTCCAAGGACACAGCAAACAGATGGAGCACAGAGCGCTTCCCGGTGATGGCAGACTCACCCCCGGCAGGCAGTGGAAAACGTGGGCGGATCTGAGCGAGCTGGACTGAGACCATCTGCCTAGAACGCTCTAGGAACTCACTGGGGCCTTGAACGAACAGTGAGGGGTCGTGCCTGAACAGCGGGGTAGGGGTCAGGGGGAGAGGCTGCAAGCTTGATGGACTGACCCGGGGGCTGAGGGTCCTGCTCATGTTGGGAGATCACAGGGATTCTCTGAGAAGCAGGACATGGAAACCTAAGGAATCCACACAGCAGTCGGGGAAGGGCAGCAGCTGGAGTGGGACGTACATCACTTTAGGGTCCTGCTGGGAGTATAAGAATCCAGTGAGAGGAGGGAGGAATGGCCTGATGGAGAAGAGAGGCTCTTTGCCACAAACAAGTTCCTTTTCCATTCAGATGTCAGGGACCCAAGGTCAAGGGCAAAGGGAAATGTGACAGCCCAAGTGCATATGATTAAACCAAGCTAAACAGTAACTTGACTTTTAGAAGTATCTTTCTTGTGAGGCAGAGTGACAGTCACACTCACACACACACACCTCTCCCATTTGCCGTGTTCACTCCTCAAATGCCTGCAATGGCCAGAACACAATCTAGGTCTCCCACGTGGGTGGCAGGAACACAGCCACCCAAGTCACCATCACCTAGTGCCTTCCAAGGTGCACAGTGGCAGGAACCTGGAGCCAGGCATCCAGCCAAGGCGTTCCAGGGTGGGATGTGGGCTTCTTGGTGAGAAGTTTTACTGCCAGGCCAAATGCCCACCCCACTGTCCAGATGACTTCTAATGCAATGGCCACTGGTCGTGTGCGTGAGCCTGGGAATGTGTGCACTGCTATTTGGGAGCCGGGCACTGCAAGGTCCATGCAAACAAATGCACCTATGGGAATATTCAGCAGGGGAGGTCTGGGGAGACCTGGACCCTGCAGCTACAGCGCATTCTGAATCTCCTTTGGATGTGTGTGTGTGAAACCACACTTCTGAATCATGCAAGCCATGCCAGCAGCTGCTGGCGCCACCAACCACCTCCCGTGCAGAAAGATGTGGGAATCCCCAACCGTCTATTTGAATGGACACCACGTGCTGCAGCCTCTCAAAGGACTCCTTCCACGTGACTGCCGTCGGGTTTATAAAGCAGGGGTGGCCATCTGCATACTGCCAACATCATTCACGGGCCCCCACACAATTGTCAACTTAAAAATTAGCATGCTGGGGCCGGCGCTGTGGCACAGTAGGTTAACGCCCTGGCCTGAAGCGCTGGCATCCCATATGGGCACCGGTTCTAGTCCCGGATGTTCCTCTTCCGATCCAGCTCTCTGCTATGGCCTGGGAGTGCAGTAGAAGATGGCCCAAGTCCTTGGGCCCCTGCACCCACATGGGAGACCCGGAAGAAGCTCCTGACTCCTGGCTTTGGATCAGCGCAGCTCCGGCTGTTGCAGCCATCTTGGGAGTGAACCAGCAGATGGAAGACCTCTCTCTCTGTCTCTACTTCTCTAACTGTCTTTCAAATAAATAAAATAAGTCTTAAAAAAATTTAGCATGCTGTAGATTCATTCAGTTTCGAGTCCTGCCCGTGGTTGCCTTGGCAGTTAGACAAAATGATTCTGAGGACCGCATATGGCCCGTGGGCAGGACATTCGCCACCCCGGTAAAAAGAGCAGTGAACAGGAGGCATTATGACCCTTTGTTTTAAATCACTGGCTTTGGTCCTGGGAGCTGGGATCTCTTACCACACGTTTACAGGAGCAACAAGGGCGGGGGAAGCCTGAGATTGTCCACATCTGTGAAGGCTGGACAAGGGGGAAGCTTGGGATGTTAATGGGAGTCAAACCGACTGACACGTCTACTTATTTAGTTGAGAGACAGAAAAAGAGAGGGAGAGCCTGTGCTACTCCCTGTCCACTGGTCCACTTCCCAAACACCTGCAACCATCCCCAGCTCTAGGCTTTTTCAGGAGCCAGGAACCCAATCCAGGTCTCCCATGTGGGTGGCAGGAATCCAAGTATTTGAGCTGTCAATCACCACGGACTCCTAAGGTCTGCATTAGCAGGAAGCTGCAGCCAAGAACTCGGGCACTCGATGATGAGACATGGGCGTCCTAAGCTACAGGACCAATGCCCACCCCGACTCGCATTTCCTAACTACCTAATGCAGCTTCATCAAGTGACTGTGCAGCCGGAGATACCGGAGGACTACCGTGACAGCTCATTGTGCTGAAGGTCTCAGTGCCACAGGGAGCCCAGGTGAGTCCCCCTTACGCAAACTGCTTGGGACCAGAGGCTTGAGAGAGGCACAGTGTTTTTGCTGTCCCCTCTCCTACACGGGCCCCATGAAGGTGCCACCAGCATCCATTCTTCATGGACGACTTAAAGTCTCTGCATGACCTGCAAGCACCAAAGGCCAGGAGACTGCGCTGTGCAGGCTGGACAAAGGCCTTTAAGATGAGCGACTTGCAGCTTGAAAGCCACAGGTAGCATGCACCTTGAAGCTGGACCCTCAATGTGTCACTCAGACTTACACGCGAAAGCCAGCACTCACCAACCAAGACGACCAGCCGGTATTTCTCGTGAGTTTGTCTCCGGTATGGCGTCACCTCCTCGTAGGTGGGCACGTCAGCTGTGTCGTACTGTTCGCTCTTCTTGCACTCGTACATGGACTTGTTTGTTTTCTTATCTTTTCTACTAAGCCGGAAGCTTCTTCGAAAGCCGGCTGCAAATACAGAAGAGAGAAATATATATTGTGTAATAACCCCACCTCCCAAAAAAAAACCCCAAAAGCAAAAATTAAAAAAAAAAAAACCTCTCAGAGTTAGGTTAGATTTTATTCATTATAACACTATTATAAGTGCATTCATCAAGAGAAAAAAAAATTGTACACAATTTCTTAAGACAGCATTTTTTTTTCTTTTTAAGACAGCCATTTGTAAGAGAAATATCTATTTAATATTTAATTTTTATACCTGGAATAATATATATTTATTTGGTTCTAGGTCATAAAGAATTCTTTTCAGAAATCATAAAGAAACCATAATAAAGCAGAATCACTCAGAAGTCACCAATATATTCACTGTGGATTGGTGAACACACTTTCAAAAAATTAAAGACACCATAAAAGCATTGTAGATGTAAATGACAAATTCTCCCATGCATCAATATTCGAAGCATAACCTAAACACACACCTGTGGCACAGACAGCATCTACTGTTAAATGAAAAGCAAACTAAATCAGGGAACTCACGGTGTGGGCTGGGCTGAGAACCAGGCTCAGCGGGCAACTCTGAAGTCACTCCACTCTGATGGGATTCCCAGCGAAGGGCTAACCGACCGAGCCAGGTTCGCTATCTCCCACGGAAATTCTGTTTTCATTATCTAAAGCATTTGCAATGAAGAAGAACTAGCTTTCACAGTCTCCACTGTGTGCCCATCCACAGGTTATGCTACATTTTCCCATTTTAAAGACTTAAGTACACTTCATGTCTGTGCAAAGAACCCTCCTAAGCTGTCATTTAGTGTGTACTTAAGTTTAGGCTAAAGTTTCTCTTCTCAGTCAACTCCATTTCATTGTCTTTTGCGCCGCTGGCTACTGCCTCGTTCTGGTTTCATTTCCTTTCTAGAAGACTGGGGATTATCACACACGCCAATCAAGCACTCAGGAAGCAGGGCCAATCAGTTCTCCACCAAACACTTAGACTTGCTTCAAATCCAGACTTCAAGGAGAAGACAGTGTGCTTATTCAAACATGGAATCTATATTCTATGTCAGCACCATAGTATAAAATAATACGCAAGCACATGTTTAAATATATAAATGGATATTCTCTTTAGGAAGAATATGGGTTAAACTGGCTAGGTATAAAAGTGTCTTAGAAAGGCAAGACATCTTAGTGCCAGTTGTGGAGCAGCACCTTAAGCTGCCACCTGCAACGCTGGCATCCCACACTGGAGCGATGCTTCGAGTTCTGGCTGCTCTGCTTCCGATCCACCTCCTGCTGGTACTCCTGGGAAAGCAGAAGAAGATGGTCCATGTACCTGGCCCCCACCACCCACATGGGGGAGTCTGATGGGAGTTCCAGAGGCCCACCCGTCATGGGCATTTGGGGAGTGAATCAGAGGATGGAAAAATCTGTCTCCCTCCCTCCCTGTTACTCTGCCTTTTAAATAAGATAAATTTTTTTTTAAAAAAAGCAAAATTGAGGTATTTTATAATGAAATGAAAAAACCATTAGAACAGACATGTGTGAATTTTAGGAACTATGAATATAGTGACTATTACCACTGACTTGAGAAATTAATAAAACTTAAAATAAAAGCAATTTTTTTTAAAGATTCATTTATTTGAAAGAGTTACACAGAGAGAGAAGGAGAGGCAGAGAGAAAGTCTTCCATCCACTGGTTCACTCCCCAAATGGCCGCAATGGCCAGAGCTGCGCTGATCCAAAGCCAGGAGCCAGGAGCTTCCTCCAGGTCTCCCATGTAGGTGCAGAGGCCCAAGGACTTGGGCCATCTTCTACTGCTTTCCCAGGCCATAGAAGAGAGCTGGATTGGAAGTGGAGCAGCCGGGACTTGAACCGGCGCCCATGTGGGATGCTGGCCCTGCAGGTGGCGGCTTTACCCACTGCGCCACAGTGCCGGCCCCAGCAATTATGTTTTAAAAAAAAAATTATCAGTGACTAAACACAGAGTTAGACAGCTCAGCTTAGGGATTCAGAGTTTAATGAAAATCAGTTAAGATCTTAAGAATGGAGTGATAAAATTCATCTGATAATGCATTTTTACAGCCTTCCAAGAGTTATTCTGACTTGGAAGGGATACTGGAGTTATTTGAGGGCAAAGATTATTGGGAAAAGATTTGAAACAAGGAAAGGGGTGGCCCCAGATCTGCAGTCTGAAGAAAAACACGTGAAGCGGCCCAGGAATGAGACACACCGGGGTCTCTATAGCAAGGGTTCCAGCTCCTGGGTAAGGACGGGGGAAAGTTCCGCTGTTCCTCGTGTTTTCTAGGACATGGGGAAGTTCCCCTCCTGCCCCAGAGTCTTCACCACAGCACGCGAGAGGCAGCGAGATCTGCAGGCCATTACCCCGAAGACAGGTGTCTCCTGGGACTTCAGCTGTCCCCAGCCACCTCTGCACCCAGCTCTCTCACTCCCGACGGCTGGCCCAGGCTCCAATGCAGTGTGACAGAGCTCTGGTTTGGCCCCAGACCCCACATCTGCCATTCTTTTAGTTATTTCCTCAGAAAGCCCACTCAATATAATAAAAGTACGTTAATTCCAAGGAGTTAATATATATCATATCGCTACTAATACTCTGTGAAGAACGATTAATAAAATGCCTGTGACTAATAAAATATAAAGTGATAGGGATACATTTCCCCCTTTTTTCCTTTTTAAAGATTATTTATTTATTTGAGAGACAGAGTTACAGACACAGAAAAGGAGAGAGAGGTCTTCCATCTGCTAGTTCACTCTCCAAATGGCTGCAACAGCCTGATCTGGGCCCATCCGAGGCCAGAAGCCAGGACCTTTTTCAGGGTCTCCCACACGGGTACAGGTGCCCAAGGACTTGGGCCATCTTCTACTGCTTTCCCAGGCAAGTTAGCAGAGAGCTGGATCGGAAGTGGAGCAGCTGGGACTTGAACTCGTGCCCATATGGGATGCAGGCTCCACAGGCGGAGGCTTTACCTACTATGCCAAGGTGCCAGCCCCTAGAGGCACATTTTCAATAAACAAAGCTACTTACCAGCTCTGTAAACTGACTTTTCAATAGATGGGACTAATGTTTCCCTAGATTTGTTCCTGCCTCATCAGCCTCTCTGAAATCATTGACCTTCATTTCCTATAAACTAGTTGTGAATAGTCATCCCTTAAATAGTAGTTCAAATTTAAATAAAGTTACAACTCACATAATCCACTGCCCTAATATTTTGTGTGATTTTAGACTGATAAAAATATGTTGTTTAAACTACCTAATAATTTAATCATTTTAGCTTGGTTTGATATAAGTATAGACAGTATCATAAAATAACCAACTATTATAATCTATCATCACTTGGACCCCTGAATCAACCTCTTCACTATTCTCATGCAGATTTTCTAAGTTCTATGAATGTTAATTATTTTTGTTCTAATTAGAAAAGCTAGAATGTTCTAATATCAGGTGCATGGCTCATGCCTCCTGGAAGTTAATTATAGGATACGCAGCTAGAAATATAAACTCCTGTGCTGGTGTTGTGGCTTCATAGGCCAAGCCTCGCCTGCGGTGCTGGCATCCCATATGGGAGCTGGTTCTAGTCCCGGCTGCTCCACTTCCGATCCAGCTCCCTGATGATGGGCCTGGGAAAGCAGTGGAGGATGGCCTAAGTGCTTGGGCCCCTGCACCCAGGTGGGAGACCCTGAAGAAGCTCCTGGCTCCTGGCTTCAAATGGGCCCAGCTTAGGCTGCTGTGGCCATTTGGGGAGTGAACCAGCGGATGGAAGGCCTTTCTCTCTGCCCCTCCCTCTGCCTGTCTATAACTCTACCTCTCAAATAAATAAATAAAATCTTTAAAAAAAGATATATAAACTCCTTTACGAGTATTCCTTGTGATGGAGGTCTGAGGGAGTGTTTCCTCAGCTCACTACAGAGCTACAGATTCTTGGCACAGGAACAGATGGAGCAGGGACATAAATGTGTCGTCCAAAGCAAATAACGTCCGACAGTGAAAACCCGAAAGATTCCTCACCAGCAAATCCCAGCTGAACCCAGAATCACAATGCCTGCATCTTGGCAACACACTGGTGCTTCTCCTTTCATCATAAATGACAGAGCAGGGAAGAGAGAGACGGTACTGAGGTTTCTGAAGTGAGGTGACGTTGTCCCAGATGGGGACCGTGCCCTAAAGAATGGCTTGATGTCAGCCATCCAGGGCTCTGTACAGAGCAGGTGCTCACCCGCAAGCTGACCAACTGGAATTTAAGCACCCAGTGACAAAAACCCACATGGTCATTCCTGTCTCGTTCAAATTGCAACAAAGCAGGCAGGACACATTTTGCACCTTCCCAAGTCAACACTCTCAGAGGCAGATGGCAGGACTGAGCAGTGTGCCGGTGACTGCCTTAGAGCTGGGTGGAGCTCTGGACGTCACCAGGCTGGCCCCTCAGCGTGGGCACAGGTGGCACCTGTCACTCACGCACTCATCCCCGGCAGTTTCGCAGTAGCAACCACCAACCACATGCAGTCCACGTAGGTCCCCAGCTTCAGCCCCTCATCCTTGGGTTATGAAACAAGAGAGGCAGGCAGGTGGCTGCCTGGTCACCGGCGAGAGAGGGGCAGGCGATCTGGTCCAGCACCTACGCTTCCTTGCTGATCTGTCAGCTGTGTGGCCGGGGGAATCTCAGAAACTGTGTCTAGCAAGAAACAGAGGAACTGAACTAAGAGCCTCATCAGTCCACTTTTAATTGAATCTATTTTAATTTTCATAAAAATATTATGAAAGATACGAGATGCTAAGATTAAAGCTCAGATGAAATATGCTATACATGTTAAATGCCTGAAGCACCTTATTAAGTGGTAAGGAATTTTTTTTTTTTTTTCGACAGGCAGAGTGGACAGTGAGAGAGAGAGACAGAGAGAAAGGTCTTCCTTTGCCGTTGGTTCACCCTCCAATGGCCGCCGCGGCCGGCGCGCTGCGGCCGGCGCACCGCACCGATCCGATGGCAGGAGCCAGGAGCCAG